TGTGTGTGTGTTTGTGTGTGCACGCATCTGCTAAGTAAATTGAGTGGTAGAGGGCAGTAGTGTCCTATAAAAGGACAGTATCCACATGAGCTGCTTCTGACATTGTCCTGAGTCCTCTTAGGCCCAGAGTGCATGCTAGCATATGATTAGTATCTATGAGGCTTCTCCTAATGCAGCCCTTGCTGTTAGCAGACAGAACTACACTGTAGTTTTCCTTCTCTATGCCCACTGCTGGTCTCTAGTGCTGCCAAAGTGAATGGATACCTAAAGAGCTTCCAAGAGGGGCAGGGTGTGTCTGGAGCTGCTTCAGACATCAGGTAGGAGTTTGCTAGAGTTGAGTTCTAGAAGCGAAGCCATGCAAGGAGCTAATTTGTGAGTTCCAAATCGAAAGTTAGAGGTTAAATAATTCCTAAATACAGACAGAGTGTTGATCATCATTGGGATACAATATCCACATCAACAACACAGAACATAAGCTCTGGTTTACTTATTTTTAAAGAACTCATAATTTGTATGTTAAAAATACATTTCAAACCTAAAACTGATCTGTTATATTTGTCTCAGTTCATAAAATAATTTGCTCTCCTCTTTTTTGTGAAAATAAGTTTTCTAATAAGACAACAGAAAAGTTAAATAGATTAAAGTGGAGGCAGCACTACTGGCCTGGTGATCCTATTAATTATCATTCTGTAGACTTTAGAGGTTATATGACTCTGCTGTACTAATACAAACTCAGGAGATGTCCACAGTGAAGCTGAAGGAGGTCTCAGATGTGTATTTCCCCATGGTTAGAAATGTGTCTGACATACAATAAACATTCAGTAAGTGCAAATTATTGCTTTTATTCATATTAAATGTTCCAAGCAACTTAGTAAAGCTGAAAATTAAAAGATGTAACAATTGGAAAGTGAAACACTCTGCTTCTTACACATCTAGCATGTATTATAATGAGAGGCAAAGGGTGTTCCTCTCCCTTTGTGTTTTATAGCCTAGTAGAGACACTACCTAGAAACATAGTGCGTACAGATATATTGGGGTGCTCCTTGTCAGTTTATATGTGCGTATGTAGTATCTTCCTAAAGGTATGAATTTGATTTTCAGCAATACTTCAATTTGGATTATACAGCTTAATTTCTTTTTACTTAGTTTTAAAATAGAATGTTACAATAACTTGGTGTTGTTTTATTAAGACAGCTTCTTCTCTCCTTTTCCTTATTCTTCTTGCATTCTTTTTTCTCCCTCATGGCTTTTAGCGTTGGCTAACCACTTGTTCCTCAGCACTGACTATCTGTGGGGAGTAATTATAATTAGATTTCTTTTTAAGAAAACCGCTTAGCAAAGGCATTTATACAAATTCTTCTTTCATGTATGAGTGTGTCTCTAGATTTTTAGTTTGGTCAAAGTATGTATTTTGCAAAAACATACACCATCCTAATGTCTTTGTAGCTGAAGGAGGCTGTCCAGATACCACTTTCATCGAAGATGCAGTGCACGTTCTTCTAAAAACTCGGCGAATCCTCAAGTGTTCTTATCCATATGGATTTTTCTTAGAACCTAAAAGCACAAAGAAAGAAATTTTTGAACTAATGCAAGTAAGATGCCATTTTAAATTGTTTTGGCTTTATGAGTAGTAAAACACTTTTGTTTTTATTTTTAAATGGCTTTAAATAAAGAAAAATTACCCTTAATGAACTAAAAATTTTCTTTGTGTTTAAATTTGTCAGCATGAGTTTAAGTGAGTTCTGAGCTGTGCAACATTTCTACATCATTAGTTTATTTCAAACTGGTCAAATGTGGCCTATTTCTTAATATATAAAAATGGAGGCTTTATCTTAGGAAATGAAACAAACTATATTGCATATTTGAATAGAAAGTTCACCTTCTCATTTTATTTCAAAAGTACAATTCAGAAAGTTACATATTTAAAACAGAGACCCTGACATTAGTCACTGGCCTCACCGGCCTCACAGAACTACTCCTAGTTGGAAGCCACAATTTCCTCCTTGCTATTTTCATTTTACACTTTTAAGCTGCCCTCTATTGATTTATAATCTACATTTTTTCAAGGTCATGATAGTCTTGCTTTGTCTTAGAATCCTTCAGCATTTATACACAGCCTGCATCCCAGCAGCTGTGTACTAGCTTGTGCAGTTCCCCTACTGGACTGGACTGTTTTGTTTTGTTTTCAACGAAGACAATAACAAATTTCTTCCAAGTGGTAACTTACTCCACTACTGGGTGATTTGTACCCGCTGCCTTCTTATAAGTGTCTATCAAATAAATGTTGTCTTCTTGCATTTTTGATGACTTAAACTGTCATCTTTTTATAACGTAAAAATCATCCAAAAATTATTTAAAAATTTAATTTCTGACCTCAAAAGAATTTGACTTGACTAAGAAGCCAGCTGTGCTTTGTATGCGTTTACTAACCCATTCAGCTTGTGACTCTTGTTCTCCTTCTTTCTATAGACAGACCTAGAAATGGTCACTGAAGACCTTGCCCAAAAAGTCAATAGGCCTTATCTTCGTACACCTCGACACAAGATCATCAGGGCAGCATGCCTTGTGCAGCAGAAAAGGCAAGAATTCCTGGCGTCTGTCGCTCGTGGGGTTGCTCCTGCAGACTCACCAGATGCTCCCAGGCGCAGGTAAAGTTTGTGCACTGCAGAAACCTCACTGGCTTGAGCCTCTAGTGGCAGGACTTTTTTTTATTTAGCTAGCATTTATATTCTCAGAAGTTACTTATACCTACAATATGGATAGCTGATCAAAAATGTGTTAAATCCTTTCTGATGATGTTCTTCCTAATACAAAAAAATTTTTCAGAATGGTTGTCTGTCTGATGTTGTGTAACTCTCCAAACTAAATTAGGTCACTTCTCACACACCAGAACTCACAATCCAGAGAATTCTGACGTGTCAGATTAATTATGTAGTGACTTGACAGTGATACTCAGAAGAAACACCTTAGGACACAGAATTGGTAACTTTGCCAACTTGCTGTGCTCATGTTGTATTTTGATACTATGAAATTACAAGGAAATAAGAAGCCAACTATTTGTAAGGCTACTTAAGTGATCTGAATTAGTCCTCTAAAAGTTGGCTTGCTTGTTTTTTCTCACATCGTAATTTTACTGCTTCTACCACAATAAATTGAAGCATTTTTCTTATAATTATAACATTAAAAGTCAAGTGTCTTTGTTTTTACATAAATATATGTAGATAAATTTCTTTTATGCTTATGAAATTAAAATGAAAGCAGTCAGAACACTTTTATATATCACAATTATTTTTATTTTCTCCATCATTTTTTACACATATAAAGCAATTTAAAATTTCAAAAATACTGGAAGTAATTATATTTTAATATTTGGATCTTTGGGTCTATGGAGTTTATCATGGATATCCTGTACTTTATGGCTAATGTCCACTTATAAGTGAGTACATGCCATTCATGTCCTTTTTGGGTCTATGTTACCTCACTCAGGATGATATTCTCAAGCTCCATCCATTTGCCTGCAAAATTCATGATGTCTTTGTTTTTAATAGTTGAATAGTATTTCATTGTGTAGATGTCCACATTTTCTTCATCCATTTGTCAGTTGAGGGGCATCTAGGTTGTTTCAAGTTTCTGGCTATTGCTGATAAAGCTGCTATGAACATAGTTGAGTCAGAGTTTTTGTGGGATCGTGGACCATCTTTTGGGTATATGCCCAGGAGTAGTATAGCTAGGGCAGTAAATGAGATGTAAAGTGAATAAATAAAATTTAAAAAAAATAGTTAGATATAGATTGGTCTGGCAGGTTATAAGCAGATAATCATTAAAGGTAATATCCAAAGGGTAAGGGTCTGGTTGTATACTTGCAGTACTGATAATGAATCAAACAGTATGTTTAATTTCTTTGTAGCTTTGCCGGTGGAACATGGGATTGGGAATATTTAGGATTTGCATCACCTGAGGTAATTGTTTTTCTGGGGTTTGGGTTGTCTTCATGGTTTTTTTCTTCATGCAATCCTGCTTGCATTTGCACCCTAGCCTATTCTAAATCCTCTGAGGCCAATGATGCTATCTCTCCCCTTTGTAGCAACAATGCCCTCTGCAGGTCCTGCATGCAGCTCTCTTGTATTGGAGTCTACTAGTGCATTCCCCATTCAGTGCTATTACTTACTAAATAGAATTTAGTCAGATTGACAGCATGAATTTTTGGAACATGTCTTCTAGTTTGTAATAGAGATTTAAATTATATTTATTAGAAATGTGTAATTGTAATGTTCTTTTAATCTAAACACATTAAGTTTCTTGAGGTTACTGCCACAACCTGAGGTGAATTTCTTGTCATTGTTTTCCAAGGTAGAAAGCCTCACAGGAGTGGTGTCTGTGTAGAGATGCTTTCTTGCTTTCTGCTGCCCTTGAGACTTACAAGATTCTGCCCTGTTTTTATTAATAAACCTGGTGTACAGCACAGGGGGTGAGGGGGTGCAGTGGAGGAGGGGGAGTCCAGACCAGGTTTTTCTATGGAGCCCTGGCTGTCCTGGAACTCCCTCTGCAGACCAAGCTGGCCTCTAACACAGCGATCTGCCTGCCTCTGCCTCCTGAGTGCTGGGAATGTATGCACGCACCAGCACAGCTGGTTTGATAAAAGAACATATGGACACTGTAGAGCAGTGGATATTCTAAGACCCAGCAAAAACCTCAGTCTGCAGCTGTTTTCTCATATTTAAATTGCCATGGCCACTGTTGTAGCTGATTTTAAAATAGTTTTAACAATTATTTTAATTTCTCTTTCCTTTGTGCTTTATAAAATGGCATTTGATATCCTTTAATTCTTATAAAGAAGAGGACAGATGGTGAAACTTTTGCTGATCTTTGTGTTTTGAAACTGAAAAACCATGAAAGTAATGACTACCAGGAATGCCTATGGCTTGTTTAAATCAGCTGCTGTCTCATCTCAGCTGCTGCTGCTGCTTCAATCACCTAGAGGCTTGGTAATTTAGATATATGCAAGAAATAGTGACAGGAGTTTGTGCTTGAAGAATATAAGGCAATTTAAACACACTTGAAGTTTAAATAATTAATATGTAATAAATAACAGTATATTTATAATAAAATAATTCTTATAAAACAAATTATTCTTTAATTTACTGATTCTGGGCTTACTATTTTGGTATCACATCATTACAGTTTAGGGGATGTGGAAATTTTCTACCTTAAGAAATAAACTTTATTCTTTAAGTCATTAACATAATTTAGCAAAGAATAAAGCCTTTCTCAGTTCACAGTTGTTTATGTGTTGTCTTGCAGTTTTGACTTAGAGTCCTAACATCTTTGGGCTTATTAGCATATATAACTGTGTCCTTTTTTAAATATTTCTCTTTAATCTTTTTTTTATAGTCCAGTCATTATCCCCCTCCTGGTCTGCCCTTCGATAGTTCCTCATCCCATTCCTCTCTCTCCCCCCCCCCAACCCCGTCTCTAAGAGGATGTCCCTACCCCCTACCTACTCCCCACCTTGCCAAGCCTCCCAGTCCCTAGGACCTCAAGTCTCTCAAAGGTTAAATTAGGTGCATCTTTTCTGAGTCCAGACTCTGGCAGCCCTCTGCTGTGTATGTGGGGGAAAGGGGCTCAGATCAGCTGGTGTGTGCTGCCCGGTTGATGGTTCAGTGTCTGAGAGATCTCAGGGGTCCAGGTTAGATGAGACTGCTGGTCTCCCTATGGGAAGAATTGTGTTGGAATGTTGATGGGATTGCATTGAATATGTAGATTGCTTTTGGTAGGATGGCCATTTTTACTATGTTAATCTTACCAATCCATGAGGTCTTCTTCAGTTTCTTTCTTGAGAGAGTTCTTGTCATACAGATCTTTCACTTGTTTGGTTAGAGTTATTTTACATTATTTGTGACTATTGTGAAGGGTGTTATTACCCTATTTTCTTTTTCAGCCCGTTTATCATTTGTATAAAAGGAAGCTACTTACTTATTTAATTTTATATCCAGCCAATTTGCTGAAGTTGTGTATCAGCTGTAGAAGGTCTCTGGTAGAATTTTTGGGGTCACTTATGTATACTATCATATCACCTGCAAATAGTGATACCTTGACTTCTTTGCCAATTTGCATCCTTTTGATCTCCTTTTGTTGTTTAATTGCTCTAGCTACTGTATTGAATAGATATGGGAGAGAGTGGGCAGCCTTGTCTAGTCCCTGATTTTAGTGGGATTGCTAAATTAAATTAAATCTCTCCATTTAATTTGATACTGGTCTTTGGTTTGCTGTATATTGCTTTTATTATGTGTAGGTATGGGCCTTGAATTCCTGATCTCTCCAATACTTTTAACATGAAGAGATTGTATTTTGTAAAATTTTTTTCAGCATCTAATCAGATGATCTTATGTTTTTTTATCTTTGAATTTGTTTATAGTGGATTACATTAATGGATTTTCGTATATTGAACCAACCTTGCATCCCTGGAATGAACCCTATTTGATCATGGTGAATGATGGTTTTGATATGTTCTTGGATTCAGTTTGCTAGAATTTTATTGAGTATTTTCATCGATATTCATAAGCAAAGTTGGTCTGAAGTTCCATTTCTTTGTTGAGTCTTTGTGTGGTTTAGGTATCAGAGTAACTGTGACTTCATAGAATGATTCTATTTTGTGGAATAGTTTGAGGAGTGTTGGTATTAGCTCTTCTTTGAAGGTCTGGTAGAATTCAGCACTAAAACCATCTAGTCCTGGGCTGTTTGTTTGGGAGGTTTTTAATGACTTCGTCTATTTCCTTAGGGGATATGGGCCTGTTTAGATAATTTATCTGCTCTTGATTTAACTTTGGCAATCGTAGTATTTGTCTAGAAAATCATCCATTTCATCTAGATTTTCCAGTTTTGTTGAGTATAGGTTTTTGTAGTAGGATCTGATGATTTTTTGAATTTCCTCAGTTCCTGTTGTTATGTCTCCCTTTTCATTTCTGATTTTAATTTGGATACTGCCTCTGTGTCCTTTAGTTAGTTTGGCTAGGGCTTGATTTATTTTATTGATTTTTCTCAAAGAACCAGTTTTTGGTTTTGTTGATTCTATATATCATTCTCTTTGTTTCTATTTGGTTGATTTCAGCCCTGAGTTTGACTATTTCCTGCCATCTGCTCCTCTTTGGTACATGTGTTTGCAATTTTTTTTGTTCTAGGCCTTTCAGGTGTGCTGTTAAGTTGCTAGTGTAGGATCTCTCCAATTTCTTTAAGAGAGCACTTAGTGCTATGAGTTTTCCTCTTAGTACTGCTTTCATTGTGTCCCATAAGTTTGTGTATGCTATGTCTTTCTATGGCTGGCAGAGTAACATACATCAGTAACACAGCACTAGGAAAGCAGAGTCAGGGAGATCACCATAAGTTTGAGGCCAACCTGGTCTACATAGCAGGTTTAGTACCAACTGGGGCTACCTAGTAAGGCTCTTGCTTCAAAAAAGTATTTGACAAAAATAATTTGCTTTTTAAAATGTATACTAAATACTTGTCTAAAAACTTAGCACAAATTGAAACTTTCAAATTCTGTATATTTAACCATCTCAAGTACTACCAATATTAAATATTTTTAAATTAGTTCTTTGCCTTAGATTAGAATACAGGAAATGACATGATGTTGTCAAATACCAAAGATTTTAAGGTTGAGTTTACATTTTTTCACTGAAGTTAATTTTGTCATGGTCTCTCTAAACTGATTGGTGGAATCTGTGGCAGGCATGAACATGTGTTTTCTATTGCTTTTAAAATGGTGGGCCTAATGCAAAGAGCATAATCTTGAAACAAAGCATCTTACAGCATTCCCTGTGACCTCATAGGGTTTCTCTTGTTTTCTTCATCTTCTCTTGACCTTATTATTCTCACACCATCGGAAGCATCCTGTCCCTTCACGTGCTCACTTGAAAATCTAAGGATTCCTTGGCAATTTTCAGACAGTTTTTTGATTAAAAAATATTCTGAGCATGTTGCACCCTGTCAGAATGACACTCGGGGTTTTCTGTGGGAATAGCTAGAAACAGAACAAGTTTTCTTTCTCAAATGGCAAATAATCAGTAGAAGTTTATGTACTCAGAATAGCTTTGCACTGCATTGGGTCTTCTAGAAGTTAAGCATGTGCTCCTTAAGAATGAGCCTTTCGTTGAGGTAAATTCCCCTTCTGTCTTTGCCTTTAAAAATGTGATGTCTGCACTAATCCTGTGAGCCATGATAACACAACAGTGTCAAGCATCCATCCCCAGGAAAAACACAACAGTGTCAAGGATCCATCCCCAGGAAAAGAGGAAATGATGCCCCAGCTCGGGGTGGGGGGGGAGGGAATGTTAAAGAACCTGTGTGATGCAGCAGGGCACTTCACTTACTGACTTGTAGCTAAACAGATGCTGAAGCTTAAAGACAGCTAAGGATGGGGTAGAGCTGGAGCTCAGTGGCAGGGTCTGCTTGGGTTAGGGTTAGGCTTAGGCTTAGGCTTAGGTTTAGGCTTAGGCTTAGGCTTAGGCTTAGGCTTAGGCTTAGGCTTAGGCTTAGGCTTAGGCTTAGGCTTAGGCTTAGGCCCTGTGTTCAATTTCCAACCACACAGATAGGTTAAATTAGGATGGAAGGATGGATGGATGGATGGATGGATGGATGGATGGATGGATGGACAAACAGGATTAGATTGATAAAGATAGAGAGATTGATTTGTCCAGATCAGTAAAGTGTGAAAGTTTTATAATATATAACCTGATTCCTCTTACTTCTGGTACTTTTGCCATAAGTAACTGGGTTTATCCTTGCCCAAGCGAGAATTCTCAAATTTAACCTTGAAAGATTCAACCATGATTCTCAAAAGTCTGCTGCCATACATCCTGGCCTCTCTTTGACTCTCACTTCCTGTTACTGAAATCTGTAGGAGATACTCTGAGATCATAGCCTTTGGTAGTAACAAACCTACTGTAAACTATTACCACAAATGTAAATCAAACATACAGACACCTATTTTAGTCTGTCTCCTTCCAAATGCTAAGTTGTAAATACTCTGTGTTGCAGTAGAACTGGGCACTGGCTGAGAAAGGGGAACTCTGTGTGCATTTGAAAGCCAGTGTGTAACGGGCTTCGTTCAGCAAGTCTTTTGACTTTTGAGTTGATATGTAGTAGTCACAAAGGCAGCTCAGTTGTCTGGCAAGTACGGAGCAGTGTGTCTGTCATCTGGGTTTTCTGCCATTTTTCTGCTTCTGTTCCCCCTTCCTGTCCCTCCCCACACATACTTCTTTAAAAACTAGACCCCCAGAGAGCCTAACATCTAGGAAGATGGTTGTGGTACAAATTGTAATTTTTACATAACAAGACCATGGAAGTAGCAGTTATATCTAGCTCTGGAGCTTACAATTATCCCTAGTAGCACCTGTGACTACTAGAAATCTTGTATTTTGCTTTCTTCTTTATTTCTTTTGCTTGGCTAAACTTGAAGTTTCCTTTTCTAAAGCAAGTAATTTTATAGTATGTATATAAAATCACACTTTTTTTTCTCCTAAAGAAAGTGTGTTTAGTTTTAGTTGCATTTTTACAATTTGCATGCTCTCCTGTATTTTATAACCTTTGGTTTATGCAGGAATATGCTGAATTTCAGTATCGGAGGAGGCACAGACAGCAGCGCCGTCGAGGAGATGTGCATAGCCTGCTCAGTAATCCTACAGACCCCGATGAACCAAGCGAAAGCACTTTCGGTGAGCTCCTGGGACAATGGGTGTCATTTTTTTCTCTTAATCTTTTGAGTTTATTTTTAAAACTATCAGTTGTCAGTGTTTGTGAATTTGCAGTTTGGGTTTACCATAGATGTAGAGATGCCTCTATTGTCTAAAAGAAAAGCAAAGCAGGGAGTTAGTGACTGAAGTAGGGATGTCCCAGGGTATTACACCCATCTCTGCTGTGTCATTTAAATCAAGGCACTGACCATCTCCATCTTCACTTACCTTAAAGTCAGTATCATTATGTTATGCTTGGAACATTTTCTCTGCATTCAAAAACAAGGTACGAGGCATCCTACCAGATTAGAATGCAATAAGTAAAAGACTCTTGTGCCCCAGGGTATCAGAGCCTTACCTTTCCCAGAGCCAGTCTTAAAAACAGGACTATTTTAATTATTTGACTTTTAAGTGTTAAGTTTTTCATTAAACATGCCTAGACTGTAATATCAGGATCAATTGGCCTACAGATTGGTTCTTGAGGCTATTACAGTTCCAGAACTCTTTAATGTTATGAAATCTGAAGACACAAACACTGCCATTCATTGTGACTTAGGAAAGAGGGCTGGGTAGTAGACCGAGAATTACTGAAAGCTGTAGAGACGCGGCTTTGAGATGGTCGTACTAGATAGCTGCTGTTGCTTACTGTCACACAGTCCTGCTGAAAATGCAAGAAACGAGAGGGACGTGGATGCGAAGCTGTGCTTCCCCAGGAACTGAAAGAAAGGCTCTCAGTTTATAGGTGCATGGAGACAACTGAATTGTCTGTGGTGCCACTTGTTTTCAAACAGATCTACCAGAGGGGGGCAGCAGCCGCAGGCCTGGTGCATCCGTGGTAAGCTCTGCATCTATGAGTGTTCTGCACAGCTCTTCCCTGCGTGACTACAGCCCTGCCAGTCATTCTGCAAACCAGGACTCTCTTCAGGTAGTCTCGGCAGCCGGCAGCAGCCGGTGCCATGCCTCTGCTCCTCTGCCCTGTGCTTTCTTTCGCTGGTCTCCTTGTTCTTTCTGGGGTAGAAGTCTTGTTTCAAGGATAGGGTACAAATGGGTTCTGGTATTTCATATTTATAAGGCAAGGAGAAAATTGTAAGATTTAAATATGTAAAATAACTTGTAGAATTAAAAGTAGTTGTATTATCTGATAAAAGAAGACAGATAAATGTGATTGGATTTTTTAAAGTGGTTATACTTTCTGTCACCTCAGGCTCTGAGTTCCTTGGATGAAGATGATCCCAACATACTCCTTGCCATACAATTGTCACTGCAAGAGTCTGGGCTGGCCATCGATGAAGAAACCAGAGACTTCCTTAGCAGTGAAGCATCCCTAGGAGCCATAGGCACATCTTTACCTTCCCGACTGGACTCTGTGACTCGGAGCACAGATAGTCCTCGGGCTGCGCTGAGCAGCTCTGAGCTGCTGGAACTTGGTGACAGCCTCATGAGACTAGGAGCAGACAGTGACCCGTTTTCAACTGACACTTTGAGTTCACGCCCTCTCAGTGAGACAAGAAGTGATTTTTGTCCCTCTTCCAGTGACCTTGACTCAGCTGGCCAGGACCCCAGTGCCAATGACAATCTTCTTGGCAATATTATGGCTTGGTTTCATGACATGAACCCTCAGAGTATCGCCCTGATTCCTCCAGCAGTAACCACAGAGACGAGTGCTGAGCCTCATCCTCCCTGTTCAAGAGATGGGTCTGAAGGTGTGAGGGACATGGAGCTGGTGCCGCCAGAAGACTCAGTGTCCAAAGATGCTGCTGATCATGAAGGGAAAAGAACCCAGATGGGAGAAAATCCTCTGGAAGAGAATACTCTGGCCGGGGAAGAGTTGTCTCAAGCTGGTGACAGTAGTAATGAGGCAGTGAGCAGGGGGGACGGGCCAGATGGTGTCAGTCAAACCCCTCAGACCTCAAGCGACTGGCTCGAGCAAGTACATTCAGTATGAATTGCACACATTTGCTCTCCGGGTGAATCATAGTACAGGGGTCTGGGAGGTGGAGTATGCTTTAGAGAGACTTTAATGCACTTAATTTGAACTCGGTTATAAACCACTGATGTTAGAGTTGAATGCAGAGGGGTTCCCTCAGATGATAGCTGCAGTGTCAAGTTTAACCTTACAGGGAATTTCTTTTGTGTCTATCCCCCTTTTTAGTGTCAAAAAAGAGCAGGAGAAAACACATGGAATGAATGGGTTGACACCCACATTCTAAGAGAATGCAGCGCTCTGTCTAGCCTAGAGTTGGCAGTACTTAAGTTGACCATTTCAATCAAAAGCTTCCTCTTTATTCCTTACATGGCTTCCTCTTTTTCATAGAAATGAAGAGGTTTTTTTTATTGTAGAAGTTGGGCCAGACAGTTCTGATCACGTGTCTTCAGTGTCTGTCTCATCTCCAGGGGCCTTCTTCCCTCCTGTTGTCCAAGCAGTGTGAGCTGAGGTGTCCGTGCTGCTTTTAGTGCTGCATCTACCAGTGTGAGTAGTTTCTGTTTCACATGATGAAAGATTCCTTCTCATGTCTCTTCACAGTCCAATTGTGCCAAACTCTGACTCATGCGCTGACTGACAGGGCGGGTAGGTGTGCTGCTTCCTGGTGTGCTCCAGGGCAGTGTCAGTGTGCTCGGGAGTAAAAGGTGCCACCCGGTAACAGTAACTGTCCAGAAATTAATGGGCTTTTGTTGCCATGGAGACTGCATTTAAATAAATGTAGCCTGTAGCTTAAGTAAACTAAAGCTAATGCTGCTGTTAAAACAGTTTATTTTAATATTAAAATACAGTTGATTAGCAACAGCGGTGCTGTATTTAAGAGACACTTTATTGGAAGTGCAATCATAGTTCTTTGTTTTCACAGTTTTACAGTGCATTCTAATTACTAACGGGTGCAATTACTTTTAATGGTGTTTTATAACATAGAAAAACTGGAGTTTTCATGAGTTACAGTAAATCCCACAGTTATTAAAAAATTCAATACAACATCCTACACAACATGTTACCGTGCCTTTGCCTAACCTAAACGGATAGTTGCCAGTTAAGTAAGTCAGTAATTCCAATCTCAATGTCTTTCTGAAGTAACTATGCTATGAATTGCAAAGACCTCCATGAAACCACCCATGGCCTTGCTTTTACAGTAACTATGACAACTAAGTGTTCAGTTCGTTTGCCTAGATAGCAAATGCTACTGTGTTTGTTCTCTTGCGCAATACTCATTTGCTGTTTGATCACTGTTTAGTATTGAAAACTCAGCCTCCTAGTTATCAGTGTCCTACTGTGAAGAAATACTGGTCTTAGTTGTAATTACGATACAGTGGTCCAGTGTGTAATTAAACTAGAGTAAACTGTTGGAATGGCTCTTGTACTTACATTATTGAAGCTAGCATAACATAAGCAACATAGATCCAAGGAGTGCTCCTGGAGTGCTTTGCCACATTGTTACCAGAAACCAAAATCTCTATGCTAAGTGTGTACAGGGAAGTCCTCGGCCAAGTGAAAGATTGTCTTTAATATTGGTATCCACAACTATCACTTTTCATTACCTCTTTTTCAAACTTTGTTTTTGAAATATTCATGTACTTTGATTTCATCTGGCCAAGAAGACATTGTACTTGAGGATTTAATTGGTAATTGTTCATGGATATCAAGAGTCCCAATGGGTTTTTTTTCTCCAGTTATCACGACATTGATATGAATCCCTATTAAAGTTAGTGGGGGGAAATGCTAACTTTGTCTACAGTGTATTACTGTATATTAAACTAAAATAGTCCATTAAAGGATTTTTTATTTGGATTAAAAATATGAATACCTTAAAACTTCTAGACCAGGCTGTAACTTTTCCAGTAGAAAGCACTTGCATCCCTAGAGGGATCTAGCACAGCCGTGGGGGGGAGAGTGAGTACCCAGTGGCTAGGAGGGGGATTCCTGTGGAGGAGGTGTATATACATGCAGAGGAGGGGTGCCTGCAGAGATCCATGGGTGCGGGGCTCCTGTTCCTTCACCTTGTGCAGTGCCTGTTATGATGTGCTGGGTTCCTGAGTGTGAAAAACTAGGGTTATCCAGTTTGTATTTCCTTGGTACATATTTTAAAAACAACACAGTCGTTGACTTTCCAATTCAGTAATAAAGTTTGGCAAAGCCTATTTTGTAAACAAGTTAATTTTATAATGTAAAAAAAGTTAATCTAATCTTGACTTGTTATTTGCACTTTCATAGTCTATACTTGATACATTCCCACTTTATATACAGTAGGATTCTACAGACCTGTAGATGTTTGGCCAAATGAATGCTGTTAATAATATGTAAAATTCTTTGATTAAACATTTATTACTTAAACTATTTCCATTTTGTCTCATTAAATTATAAATTTCATTTAAAACTAATTAGGAAGCAAATCTTGCTTTATATTAAATACCCTCCAATATGACAGTATTAATTTGGTTCTGTTATGTAATTGAATAGTGCCTAATATTTTTACAGTAGCCCATTTGCTGAAAATTGTATACCCCAGAGGTAAATTTGATTTCACTATGACATGTATTAAAATTAAGAAATTTGATAAATCTGATTTCGTTTGATAACAGTATGTTAAAATTATGAATTTAGTGCTCATTTTCATTTCTATAGTTTTATGAGGAATATGTTATGATTTCCTTGGAATCAAACAGAGAAAAAGTAATACAGAACTTCCAGACCTATTTTGTGGAATTGGGAGGAAGAAATGTATGCCATATGAATAAAATGTCATGCTTCTCACCACCTCATTCTCTGCCTTCTGGTGAGCACAGCCCTCGGCAGCCCACCTCAGTGCACACACATCCAGGCCGCTGCGTCCCTCACCATTGCCTTATCTAAGCCTGTCATCATGTGGATCTGAAACAACTTCCAGTGTCCATCCACCTTCCGAGTCCTGCCTCAGTGTGTGGTGCAGCCTCTAGTCTCCTTCTCGTTTTAGACATAGATATCCTTTTGCCTGGCCCTTCAGGAATTGAAACCTGATACTTAATGAAGTTCAGTCATTTAAAAACAATTAGTCTCTCTCCAAAGAATGAAACCTTGAAACACAGGCAAGGGTGGGGTGGGGTGGGGTTGGGGGCTGACCTAGGGAAAGCCTGTTCCTGTGCTAGGCTGTTGCCTTTCTTCTCTGCGTCCAGCCAGTCTGTAACTGTTGGGTCTTCTCTTCAGCCTGCTGCCCTGTCAGTTCCTGTAACCTCCTCAGAGGCAGCAGATGAGGTTTCTAGAGAGGCGGCAGTGGCTCTCACCTAGACGTCCTGTTATTTTAGGAGCAGGTCGGTTTCCAGTTTGTTTTCTCTTTTCCTCAGTATTGGCCATTGACCCTTGCAACAGGTAGTAAAGAAACCCCCACACACACAAAAAGGCTCTTGTGGTATTCACTCAATTCTGCTTATAATTGACAAAGGTAGTTGACAGCCAAGCTTTTGAAGGAATTATTCTTCAGTCTTTGAAACTAATTTGAGAGAGTTGTTAGGCTTTCTGTATCTCCTAGTCTCTTACCTCACTGGGTGCTTCGTGCACGAGTGCTACCCTGCACGAGACATCGGCTCCTAAACAGGTTAAGAGACAAATGCACAAGAGTGGGCAGAAGAGCACAAGATAATAGCTGTGTGAACTCCTTGTCTGCCCACACCTCTGTGTGTTTGAGACTGCTGTGAAACAGTTTCGTTATCCATTCAGATGGTGAGGACACATTACACTGGACTGCCCACAGGACCCCACCTACTCGGGACCTATAGCTTCTCCTTCCCCATTACAGAACATGCTCCAAAAACATGTCCATTTCAGGAGCTGAGGATGTGTCAGCCACCCATAGTGTAGCACAGGAACGCCAGGTCACACTGTCCCTCACTGAGGAGGATGGACCCTGTCCATCTCCTCCCATGTGTCTCCCTCCAATTCATGACCTCTAACTTTTATTCTTAGATGCACACGTATGTAGAATACAATCACTGGCTCCATTTTGTTACATGCAGATGTGTTTAGGGCTGACTGTTCCAGATTGGATAACCTGTTGGGGGCTTATTCCTGGAGAAGAGTGATTTTTCCTCCCTCAGCAGCCATTCTTTGCCTGTAGCTCTTCATCTAAGAAGCCTTGTGAGACTTCGCTTAGCCATGTTGGAATGTCAACTGGAAATATACTCACTTTTGTTGGTTTATTTCTATTATTTTATATGTGTTTTGACTGTATGTATGTATGTATGTATGTATGTATGTATGTGGACCACATGTGGTGCCTGGTGCCCACAGTTTCAAGAAAGTCAAGAAACAAAAGCCCAACCTTAGCTATACCTGCTACGTTTCTCCTTCCTGGTGAGCATAAACTCTCCATCCAGGAACCTGCTCCCACACATCAAGCATTCCTGCCCAAACTTAGGGATGGTTGAGCTAGTTTACAAACTTAAGGAAACAAGTGAGTTTGATTATCCTGATTTGCCAATTGTGAGAATTGAGCTCTGGAAGAGAATCATCTTTTCAGCATCCATAGGATTCAAATTGCAGAAAATCAAACCAAAGCCCTTGTTATAAGACTGACTGAATTCCAGGAAGAATTTAAGTCACAGCCTCCGAGGGAGTCAGTGGTTAAAATGAGGGCATTCGTTGTTAAAGAATGGGATCGTGTAACTTGGTATGGGAATATGTGGGAGGACCCACTGAGGCTGAGAACTTGGAACCCTCAGATTCTCAAGGGTTTACCTCACCTGAGGAAATAGTGTCTCCACCCTCAGCAGAAGATATATTCACACCCCATCCCCTGAAATCTCACCTTTGACTGAGGAAAGAATCCTTCATTGTCTGTTAAACCAGCAGTGACTTTCTCTGAAGGGAATAGCAGACAATACTGATGTCCCTCAGGGCCCACCAATAGTTGCTCTGGATCTATAACTAGACTTAAGGCAAAGCGAGCCTCTAGAGGGGAAATGGAAATTATAGCCGACAATAAAGTGAGCTAGACTACAAAAGAGGTCAATGATTGCAGACACTCAGAGCAGACGTCTAGGGAGTATGTATAGGAATGGGTTGCTGTGGGATAATGGTGGAGAGAACAAAACTGGATCAAATTGAGTTCCTTGATCTGGGTCCACTGAGTGGAGATTCTAGGTTTGATATGGAAAGTCACACACTTTTGTTTTTTTCTTTTAATGCCAGAAGTTTGTGTGAATGGTGGCCTGAAGCATTTGTCAAAAGATGGCCTACTGAAGAACTGGAAATGGCTGTTGTCCCCCTGGCTTAGTATTGATGAAGGGATTTTAAGACTCAGGAAAATTGTAATCCCAGAGTCGGTGCGCTGTGTAAAATCTCATCCTCCATGATGGGAAGGCCCACAAGACATGCCCTTCACTGAGCCTGTAATGGTGACAGTGTTACCAACACATTTGCAGCGCTTTGTGGTTGCCTTTTCCTCGTGCCAGACTTCTACCGGAGACACTGCTCATCGGTTGGATGACTTAAGTGCAGTGGGTTTGACTTGGCCCCAGAGTGGCAGCATTAATCAACAAAGGCAAGATGGCTGTAGTTACTGTAATGGGTGCCACAGACAAAGCATGTTCATAACGGCCTGACCCCAGTGGTTCTCAGCCTTCCTAATGCTGCAACCCTTTCATTCAGTTCCAAGTGGCGTCTCCACATGTGGCCAGACCCCTGGAGACAAAGGAACAGTGGCTCAGTTCCTAAGACCTACAGAAATACTTGTTTTCTGGTGGTCTTGGGCGACTCCTGTGAAAAGGTCATCTGACCCCCAAAGGGATTGCAACCCACAGGAGGAAAACCACTGGCCAGCACAAGGCAAAGCGATTTTTATGGCGGCATGCTTTGTGTGGGCCTTTGGTACTAGCTAATCAACCATGGTGTTTGCAAGCATGAAAAGGAGCCTACTGCATTTTTGTGTTTTTTTTTTTTCTCAAAGAAAAGAAAGGCTCCATTAGACCATGGCAAAAGGGAATCTCAGCCCATGAACCAATTTCTAAACTTGAGCTAGTTTGCAGACCCAGAACCCCTTGAATGAGGAGACAGGTTTTCCTGAGGAAGGACCTTAATAAACCTAAAAGCTTACTGTTAGCCTCGCTCCAGTTCTTCACTATAGGGACTTACAGCCTTTTAACAAAGGTAACTGCGGGATAAACACACTTAGAAGTTGTAATTCTCACATTTGTTCCCTGATCCATGGAAGGAGGGCTATTGTGTCTGGAAAAACTAAATGAGAACCTTTAGAGTTGTCCCTGGTACTCAAAATATAGAGTGAATCAATAACAGTATCACATCCCTGAGGAGCTGCAGAAATTAATGCCACCATCAAGGACATGAAAGATGCAGGGGTGTGGTTCTCACCACATC